CAGGCGATGATAGCTATAGTGATACTGATATATAATTTTAAGTAATTTACATTTAATACATACATAAATAAATAAACATGGTTTAGTATCTTTCCTAACAAAACAATCTTGGCAGCTCGTTTCGGCTGTATTCCAAATTCTAAAGCAATTAAGCATAGAACTCTCCGCTCGATGGTATCAATAAAATCTTTTATAAAATGTTTGGTTGTTTTGTGGTGTCTGGTGAAGCGTAGTTCTATCGAAGTATCAGGATATCTAAGTCTAACAAAAGAGCCTAACAAAAAAATCATCTCTTGAACTGTTTATGCAACAGAAAAAATTCTTGAACGAGAAGACGCACAAGATTTGGCTTCGAAAAATTTTATTCCTGATAATTTTTCAAGAATGTACACTGTGGGCCGCGTTTAAAAAGAAAATGAAAAATTATCATGATCATATAGCCCATATAGACAGCTAAAACTATTGTATTTAAGGTTTCCAACTGTTGTAAAGGGCTTCAAATTTAGCAGAGAAATAAAAGTCCATGCCCACATTTAAACAATGGAAACTGGGTGCAATCAAATTTTTTAAACATTTTGAAATTTTTTTGTGGTTATTTTGGCTTTCAGAAAAACATGTTTTTCTCCATAACCACTGACCGGATCGTTAAAATTCTTTAACCGGCACACGGGGAAGATCCAGTGCTATAACATTTATCTCAAGTTATATACAGGGTTTTCCAATTATAGACAACAATCTAAGAGAACCATAAAATTTCCAGAGCAAATTATTAACAGCGAATCAAAAATCGAAAAAATTATGGCCAATCGGTTCAAACAGTGTCAAAGGCCGCGTCAAGAGCTGCAATTTTTATGTTTACAGTTTTCGTGTATCACTATACCTCGGGTTCAGTCAAGACGCGATGACGTCATTGGTTAGCACTGCAAATAATATTAGCATTTGCAGATGACGTCGACACTGTAGCACAAACCACGAGAGATGTAAAAGTTATACGTCAAAGAATAATACACAAAGAATCAGACAAGATTATAACAGATGACAACAGAGTAGAGATGGATGTAGCAGCAAGGATCATAGCAGGGAACGGAGCATTCTATGCGGTACAACACCTATTTAAGTGTAAACTCATCACTAGAAAAACAAAAGTAAAATTATATACATAAATCATTATTTCGACATATGGCAGTAAATCCTGGACTCTAAATCAAATAGAAATAAATAAATTGTTGCTATGGAATCCTAAAATACTACCAAGTAGTCTGTGTAGAGACATAAACACTAATGAATAGAGACGCAGACACAATGAAGAAATGGAGGGATTGTATGGAAGGGAAAATATTGTAAAGGCTAACCGCCTAAGATGGGCAATATGGCAGACTTCAAGAGTAAGAATTCATCTGGCAAATCCTTTTATGGAAAATAGAAACCAGACAAGATTTGGTAAGCTTAATTTTTCAGTTTATAATCATAAATGGTAGGAGATTCACGGTAGGAGAACCACGTCTACTTATACCAATTTCCAACACAATAACAAATAATGAAAGAGAGTATAATCGTAGGAATACATCTATTTTGGGAAAGGTCAGACAGTAGGACGTTCTTGTAAAAAGTGGAAGGATGCAATTGCTGAAGACCTTTGAAAATGAGAAATAGGCAATGGGAGATCAGCGCATTGGATCGTCAATATTGGAAGATTTGTAGTGCTAGAGAAGAAGAAGAAGCAACCAATCTTTAATAGCTCTAAATACTGCTAAATACCCTTGGCTTCCAGGCCAGCAGACTCATTGCATTGTATTGTATTGCATCGAGTATTATCAAGGTGCCATTTGCTACTACTCACTGAAAGACTCCATTCCACTTATGACTGAATGGCTCGTGTCCGGATTGCATCTGTTATGTTCTACTTAAAGCCCCAGTTCATACTACATTCCTAGTAGCGACCAAAAGGACATCCCAACCTCCCTTAGGCCCACCATTCACTTACACTTCATCGGCCGACAAAATATAGCCATACAGCAAGATTTAGTGGGTCTTTCAACGTTTTCCTCCACCTTCACTACTGCAATTCGAAGTCAAATGGCCAGAGCTCAAATACATAGGATCTGCGAGTTAAGCGCAAAGGTTCAACTTGTGGAACGCGCCCCGTATATTCGCGGCCTGCCAGGCTACTATTTTTAAGATTACGGCATAATTTTGTTGCGGCGACTCGGTCGGATTTATTTAATGTGTACACGCCATAAACATTAAACGCGAGGAGTCGTAAACACGCGCCGCCAGAAATATATTCGGCGGCCACGCACAAAATCCCAACGGAAATTATGTCGGTGTGACTTTGTAGACGCTCGGTTTAGGCACACAAATTTGCCTTGCCCACAGAGGTATCCTCAACTCGATTGATTCACTGCGTTGATCACTGGCGACCTTGAAACCCTTAAGCAGGATCAATGGACGTCACTTGATCAGACATTAGACTACTCTAGAAAAGCCTCGTGAATTGACCATCCAGTATTCTGCCAGCGTATAAATTATCATTTTCATGATAGTGGTTTCTTTAAATCGATAGCTCAAAAGCTGTGGCATGTGTTTTCCATTGTAACTTAGCTCTGGCTCATGTGACAGTAGCAACATAGACAGCTTGCTGAATCAGTCGTTCTCTGTCTACGATCTTATCGAGTTCAACGAACTGAGCTTCCAATAGAACTTTCTGATGTTTCGCCAATCATCCTGATGGTTTCTTCAGAGCTTAACTAAAACTGGTTTGCATTCTTCTTCTTTTTCGCTCCATTAAAGACAAAATTGCAGCAGTTGCCGAATACCGAATACCAATATGACAGTCATCCGAGGCAATGTTCTTCTATACACTCTGATCACTTTAGCCGTGAAGTGTGCGCGTGGTACCGAGTCGAATACCCAATTTCCATTACGCTCGTGATTCCCGAACAAATGGCGGGGCAATTATTAATGACAAATAGCCGACAAGCACTGACCAATTAAAAGAAATTACAGAAATTAAACATATAGGTAAAATAAGGATAACGGACACTGGGCCAAACTTAACAGTTTCGTTACTAACGAGGCTTTGAGTAAAATCGCTAAGCTCTGTGGCTATTTGAAGATAAATTTAAACCTAGCCGATACTGTTTTTTATCTAGAAGGCCAAATCTATCGATCGATAGTGACAGCGTCTCGTCTGAAAATGAAAATGAATCAAAAATTTGATGTTTTAATGTTTTAATTCGCCCTGTATATAGTGAAAAAACAACGTGTTCTCAAATACACGCGATATTGTTGCTGGTGGGCGGAGCGACAGGTCACGCCCCACGGGCGCGACCCGAAGGCTCCTCCCCCTAGGTCACGCCCGCGGGCGATGATTTCGTCGCGTCGCCCGGTATAAAACGTCGTAGCGACTCGTCGGGATCGCTCTACGAGCTTCTAAATCTGAATATCCATTTGATTAAGAGGATTTGGACGGCGGCCAGGAGTGCCCCGCTTATTTGTTTAACTTTCGCTAAGAATAAGGCGGCGCTGTCCGCGTTACAATTTCCCCAATTCGCGAGGAATCTCCTCCCGACCCAAAATTTTTAATTTTCGGTCACTTGGACCGAGCGTAAACTTTTCCTATCTCGCTACAACCCAAAAGTGCACAATCGGATATGATCAACACTAAGAATAAGTTTCAGACTGTTCAAATGAGCATATAACATTAAATAGCCACTAAATTATATTTGAAAATCTTCTTTACACGCCACGAACATATTTACAAAAAAACGCCGTGGCTTCATATTAGTAATATGTAGAGATAATTTGAGCTGTCGCACTAAATATATTGATAGGAGTTGACTATGGTATAGCAACTTTCATGGTCTTCCTGGGAGTCTAAGATCGAAGCTAAGATCGACCTTCACCTTAGTGTCAACCGGATGAATTACATTTTATCAATTAAAATAAGTTTCTGTACTTGACATGATATGAGTGAAAAGTATTTACTATACATAATATGCAACACCACAGTAGCTTACCTTTTTTTGGTATACTCTGTTCATAGATATAAGAAAGTGACTAACTGATACGAATTAAGGAAAGACCCGGGCAAGCTGAAGAATGCAATATGGCCGTACTTTGCTTAAAATTTAATTATTTGGGGTTTTCTTAGGAAAGATGCTAAACAATAATTATTTTTATTACCTACTTAAATTACTTAATTTATTCACATAATATATCAGTATCACTATCGCTATCATCTTGCCCCGGATTTTTTAATTTAAATGTCTTACAACTAGCATCTATGCCAAATTTTTTGAGTCAACCTTATACTACATTATTTATAATTAAATTACTTTTATTTTAAGACTAATCACGATGGGTTGACAAAACGGTGCAATTACTAATATCAACTTACCTGTTTGACCACAGCTAGTTTCGTATCGTAGACACAACGGTGTAAGTTAAAAAATCTTTGAGGTTGCCATATCAGGTCATGTTCAGAAACTTATTCTATTTGACAAAACGTTATCTTTATCTTACATTAGACTCCCTCGTATTGGACACAAAAATGCATCTTCTAAAGACTAATACCAGCAAATCGATGATCATTTCGTTTAGTCCAGAAAAAGGAAGGTTAATACTTCTGGTAAATTAAATTAGGACGATAATTTAATAATACTTGGGCACCATCTCAATCACAGCACAAAAAAAATGCCATGTGATTGACGAGTCTGATAATAATGGAAGTACACAGAATTACCAATATTAGTCTGATCTTGATCTTCTGAATTCGTGAACCTAAATTCGCTGTTGTTATTATACTAAACATAGAATGAAACTATCTCAACGATCTTTTGCATACTGCATATCTCGAATTGTAAAAAAATTATATTATTTCTATAATTTACTTTGGTCCTGTAACAGCACCTGCACAAGGATGTGTTCTTGTTTATTTATTGAAACTTTTTTTTTCTTTTCTCGGTTTAATTATTATTATTATAACGACTTTGAGACACGCCGTATAAGCCGGAGGTTGATTGATGGGCGCTATGCGAGACCGCGAATCACAGGTGCGAGTGACGTCAGGACGATGCCGTCGTTTCTGGCGCCTCCGACGACGTCGTGGGAGTAACACGAGTAATTTTGGTTCGGTTATTGGGTTAATTAAATTTAACCGTCGGATAATTTCAAATTTTATCAATAAACGCAACTGGTCACAGTAATTACACATAATCTGAAAGCAAATAACGAATCCTTCTTTGCTCCTCCAGGCCGATTATTATTTCTTCAGGGTGGCCGACTTGCCGAACACCACCACCAAAGGCTTGTCCTTCAGGATGAACCCGTTGGTCTCCTTCACTGCCTTCTGGGCCATCTCGACCGTATCCAGGGTCACGAACGCCTGGCCCTTCATGCGGCCCTCCTGCATCAGCCTGATGTTAAACTCGCTGGGCCTCTCGTCGCCTCCCTCCTCCCGGTACCTGTTGTAGATGTACTCCAGGTCCTGGAGGACGACCGTCTTCGCGCAGTTTTTAATGTACAGCTTGTTGGTGGGCGGGCCGGGGGCGTAATTCTTAAAAATGGGCAGCGCCGCGAGGTCCGTGATCTGATTGGCAGCGAGCTCCTCCAACGAAATGCACGGTTTGTCGTCTTCGGGCGAGGACTGCTCGTCGAGTTCGGGTGCCACCCGACGCTCTTCGACAGCCGGCGCGAGCGACTCCGACGTCACTTTCAGCTCGATTTTTTTGGGCGGCGCCACAGTCGCCGTTTTCTCGAACACGTTTTCCACCCTCTCAGGGGGCGGTTTCGGCGCTTGCCGCACCGCCGCCGGCGCTTTGATAAACTTGGGTCGTTTCACGGGCTTTTTCTCTGGTCCGGGTCGTTTTTCGGGTATAATTTCTTTGGGTTTTCGGGACTCGTCGTCGCTCTCCAGCTCAGATTCCGACGACGACGCTTTCCGCTTTTCGATGGGTTTCTGCGAGACCACCGGATGGTGCTGCTGCAAGGGCGTGATCGTGCGTATCGGCGGTTCCGGGACAGCGAACGGAGGCGGCAGATTCATCTTGTTCATCAGATGCAGCACCTGGACGTAGAACCGAGGCACCGTCGCCAAAGCGTGGGCAATGTTATTGATCGTGGCGCGATTCGCTTTCGGGTAGTTATACTTGAGGTGCGACGGCGGCGGCTGGTGGAACCCGGCCGAGTCGTTGAAAGCGTTGATCTTGTTCAAAAACGTCTTGAAAAACCTTTGGCCGCTAACGTCCGCCTCCTCGACCTTCTTCAGCGCCGGTTTGCCGTGGAGGATGCCGTTTTCGGCGTACTCCACGCACAGGCGCGAGTTCAACACCGAAATCTGATGGAGACGGTGCATCACGCTCCTCGCCATCTCGGGCGATTCGAATTTCGCGTACACGACCGCTTTTTCTTTCGCTTTCGACGTCAACACCTTCACTTTGACGGCGCCGAAGTGCCGTGCGAAATCCTCCTTCTGGTGCTCCGACAACTCCTTTGGAAGGTTTTTGATGCGTAGCGTGTCGGTGATTGCCATCGTGACGAAAAACCCGAATACGGTTTTAAAAATAAACAATTCGCCGATTCGAGGTTAGACGGTGGCGCCTCTTCTTTCGTTATCGTGGTCTTAGCACTTACCACCTGGCCAGAAGTTATTACGTCTTTGGACGAAAAGATGAATCGTCGCACGCTAAGCTAACCTCACTTTCCGCGTCAGTTTCGAGGACGCCTACCGCCCCCGCTTATCGCTCCGACCTGGGCATGTTCGCGTTGCATTCCATCCGTCTACTAAAAATAATTCCGCGACATTGCGTGCGGCGATAACCCTCACAAGGTGACCGATGTTCTCAAATGGTGGGCTGGAGCAAAACAAACGAGAACCTAAGCCAGTTCGACTTTGCGCTGGCCGGGGGCGGTTCCGGGCTCATCACCCGAGCTCTGTGTCAGCCCCTGGACGTGCTCAAAATCCGATTCCAACTGCAAGTGGAACCGATAGCCCACGGATCGGTGTCCAAGTATAGATCATTGTATCAGGCCGTGCGTTTGATACTCCACGAGGAAGGTGTTAAGGCGTTTTGGAAGGGCCACGTGCCCGCCCAGTGGCTTTCCATCAGTTACGGCGTCGCCCAGTTCTGGGCGTTCGAAGTTCTGAGCCGCAACGCCCATCATTTGGGTTTGTCCGGCAAATGGTCGCCCTTGTTGAATTTCGCTTGCGGATCAGTTGGAGGTGAGCTTTAAGGCAATTGATAGGCGCCGCGACGCGCGCTTTTTGTTTAGGGGGCGTCGCTACCGTAGTGTCGTTCCCGTTCGACGTGGTACGCACCAGGCTGGTAGCGCAGAGCGATCACAAAAAAGTGTACCATGGCACTCTGGCGGCGACTCGCGAAATCTGCTTACGCGAAGGGCCCTTGGTACTCTACCGTGGCCTGTGGCCGACCGTGCTCCAAATAGGGCCACACGCGGGCGCCCAGTTCATGTGCTACAAGCTTTTTGATGACTTGTACAAGTACATCATCGGCACCAGCCGTACCACGCTGTCCAGCAGCTTGGTGGCGGGCAGCATGGCAGGACTCTGCGCCAAAACCATCATCTACCCCTTCGATCTGGTCAAGAAGCGGCTCCAGGTCCAGGGGTTCCAAGCGGCCAGGGCGCACTTCGGAAAGCATTTCACCTGCCACGGACTGGTGGATTGTTTTAGGAAAATTTACAAGGTGGAAGGGCTGATGGGGTACTTCAAGGGACTATCGCCCAGCTTGCTGAAGGCCATGTGCTCGACGGCGCTGCACTTTAGCAGTTACGAAATGATCTGCAACCTATTAGCGTACAAGAGTCGATGACGCAAGTTGTCCGGTTAGTTTTAAGGTTACCTGGGGAAAATGTCTAGTCGGATTTATTTATTTGGCCTCGCCTTTATCGAATCTAGTCAATTTCGTTTATTCCATTGTTATACTAAATAAGTAAATAGAAATGTTAAAAACACGGGGGGTTTCATTCACCGACAAACAAGGGGCCCTGCAATAGGCAAAGAAAAAAAATGTTTTCCTTAAATTGCATCACGATACATGGTCATATTTTCCAAAACCTGTAATAAAACGAACACAAGCATTCTGCAACCTTTACACTCGTTATCAATAAAAAAAAACACAGTAGTACATCACAGTAGTTAAGTTGAGAGAATAAGTGACTCACATAATTGTTTCCTTAGTCTAAAATTTAAAATATGCCTGTTACTATATAACATTTTTAGTGAGAAATATGCCTTTTGAAAGATAGTTTTTAAATATTCACGGAATCTTAGATCACAATCTATGATCACCCCCAAATTTTTTGCTGAATCGACAGCGGAAAGTTTAATATTATCTAACATTATATTAATATTTTGTTAAAGTAGCTTAAATTTATTTTTATTTCCAAATATCATTAAATGCGATTTTGATGGGTTTAGCTTTAAATTATGGGCACCAGAGTGTTCACTAATCCTGAAAAGATCTTGATTTATAAATACCTCTGCATCCATGCTACTATTAAAATCCAACCAGTAATACAATTGAGTATCGTAGGCAGATGCATGAACTTTGCAAAAATTTAAAGATATTAAAATGTCAGAAGTGTAAATAAAGGAAAATACCGGCCCTAAAATGGAACCTTGCGGCACCCCAGAGAAAATTTCAATTTCTTTCGAATATCTGCTGTCACAGTACATTTTCTGATGTCGATTTGAAAAATACGATTTACTCGGCGCGCGCGAATTAGAGGAAAAGCCATAGAAATTCAGCTTGGAAATCAATAGGTCATGGTTCACCGCATCGAATGCCTTCAAAAAATCCAAAAGTATTAAGCCACTCATTAGTTTTTTGGCAGTGGCTCGGACAATATCATCAATGACACTTATAAGAGCATTCGCAGCACTTGACTTTCGTTTAAAACCGCACTGACTTTCTGGTACTATTCTATTATCCATTATATAGGTGTACATTTGATTATAAAGAACTTTTTCGTATATTTCCGGGGCATTATTTTTAGCTAATGGTTTTCCAAGTGACATTTTTCAGCTTTTTAGAACATAGTTTACCTCTATGTGAGAATTAATAATGACATAATTGTCATGTAAAAATATATAATTTCGTGAAAATCTAAACTTTTAGTTCTTATTGTTTAGAGTTTAGAGTTATTAAAATTGCACAGTAAATCTAGACATATCCCCTTTTCTCTTCTCATTGTAGACAATTTAAAATTCCTTAGATTTTTATATAAGAGCCAATCGTTATTATTCCTAGTTCTTTTAAATCTTTATATAAGCACAAATATTTTAACATTTTCCGTCAACCAAGGAGCGTTTGGTTTACTTATACGTGATTCTTCAATTGGAGCATGTGCATCAAATAATGTTAACAGTAAATTATTAAGTATAGTACTTTTCTCATCAATATTGTTTTCATAGATGATATTGTCCCACGGTAAGTTGCACATTTCTAGGAGAATCGGCAACAATTCAAAAGTTTGACAGCGCAGTAAGGTGCATGAACTCTATTGACACTTTTTATCTATGGGCCTTGCGTTTAAAAAAGAAGAAGCGACGGGGAGCGTGACCAGGGGCCCTGCGTTCGGAAAAGAAGAAGAAACCAAGAGCGTGACAGATGGCGCCAGCGCGACAAAACGTCACGGACGCGTCATCAAAAAATAATCGGTGGCAAGCGCCAGGGCTAGTGTTTTGACAATAGCGAGTTTTCTGAGTCCGGAACGTGCGAAATCGAGGCGTCGCGATGGAAATCGTCACCGAAATCACCCAGAGCCAGTTCGCTGTGTACGTGCCGATCGCGTTGGCGATCGTGGGGCTCATCGCCGTGTTCGCCTTCGGTTTCGGTACGGCACAGCAGCCCAAGTTCAAGCTGACGTCGCTGGACGACCGGAAAACGGCCGCGAAAAAAAGGAAAACCAAAGACAAGGTAAGCGCGACCGATTTTCGAGACATCGCCGGTAAATCCCGCGGCGTCCCGGGCGTCTTTTGTGTAAACATATGTTTACCATGTTGAGGCTGTTTTTAGGCAATTAGTCGGCAATCGTGGTGCGGTCAAGTCGCGATCCGTGCTATCGAAAAGCTAACCTAGCTTTGTTTTCGGTTCAGAAAGCGCCAGTGAACGGTCACATAGCGTCGGAAAAATCCCCTTCGAAGGATAAGAAGTCGCCTGTCAAGGAAGCGAGTGAAACGAGAAAGGAGAAGAAGTCGGACGCCTCGGCTAAGAAGCCGGAAGAAAAGCGGAAAACCAACGAGCCCCAGGAACAGGCGAAGAAGAGACCGGCCAAAAAGCAAGTCGCCGCTCAGAAACCAGACGATTTTGACGAGGGAGATTGGGAAAAGGTGCTGACGAAAGCGGACAGAAAGAAGAAGAGCGACCAGTCGCCCAGCAAAAAGGAGAAGAAGGTGAAAAAATCGGAAAAGAACGACGCCGAGCCAGAAAAGACGGAAAAAGAGGAGACCCCGGTTGAGGAAAAGATCGAAAGCAAACCGGAACCGGTAAAGGAGAACGCGGAGGAGAAAATCGAAGAGAGCGAGGCGGTCGCGCCCGTCGTCGAAGAAAAGAAGGAGAAAAAGAAGGAGAAGAAGCCCAAAAGGGAGGTGAAGGATGCGGAGGGGCCGGCCATAAGCGAGGTGAACGTCGTCGCCGAAGAGAAATCGGTCGAGGTCCCAGCGGCGCCGGTTTTCGACGAATTGGGAGGTGAGTTTGGGGCTTCTGCTGCATGTGGGGTTTGACAGTCGTTTTTTCGTAGATACCTGGACAGAAACCAAGCAACCCAAGAAAGGAAAGAAAAAGACTAGAAGGGATAATTAAGGGGCCAGGATCCTTGGTGGAAGTGTAGAGCCGAACTCGCGGGGGGCCCCCCGCGCAGAAGGAAGCCATCGGGCCATAGGAATGACATGTGATGGTGATTAGTTGCTGTAAGGGACACGGGGGTGTATAAAGACTTGCGTGTTTGTCGTGATTGGGGTGCATTTTGCATGTTTTTTTTTTTAACTTGGGGTAAGCATTGTAAATAATTCGCATTATTATTGTACATTCCATCTGTAAGGATAAGGATATGTTCCGCTTTTGGAGGTTACTTATTTAAGGTAAAAAAAAATAAAGGGTGTGCCAAAAAAAAGTCCGTCGGTCACGTTTCCGCTTCAAATTTTGCGAAAAAGGACAATAAGGACAAACTGTAGGGTGAAAATCAAACTATGTTATACGAAACTTATCCATTGAACGTGCATGGCCTTAAGTGCATCATCGCGTATGTATATTTTGTAACGATATATATATTATATTTTTTCGACGAATCTAACGCGAATGCAATCGCAGTTTCGAGATCATTGTATTGTGTGTCTTCCAACTGGTCTTAAACGTTTTTTTTTTTTAAACGTTGCTACTTTGTAGTTTTTTTAACTTTCCACGTTTTTGTTATTATTTCGCGTTTACTGTATTTTATTTGGAATTTTATCGCGTTTGAAATTGATATTTAAACGTCGCTCGCGCGGCCCTTAGTTTCTAAGCGTTTTCGATTTTGTAGTTTGTAATCGGTGATTTTGGTAGTTCTTAAAAAGTTGTGATACTCGGCGACACATTAAGACGGACGCTTCCACGGCCGGGTGGATTGTTTTGTATTTTTTTCAGGGGACCATGTTGATAATATATATATTTCGAAAGCAAAATGGCCGCTTCTAATTTACAGATAAAATCCTACCTTAGGGATCAGCTGAGCGGTCATCACACATCATCCACGATATGAAGTCCGTAGTCATTTACACGCTATATCTCACTTTACTCACGCGCACGCAATTTTTGCACTTAATTTTGGCGAAACCTTGTGAAAATTACCGACCCTAACCACGGAACAAAAAGTTTTGGTAAGGTTCCGCCCATGCATAATAAAGGAACTTTCAAAGCCGCCGTGAAAAAAGCCCCGTTCCACATGTTTTCGACCAATAGGACCAGAGATTTCAAAGGAACCAATAACAGCCCGCGACGTTCGACAATCAACACGGCCGCCGAGAGTTTAACAATTCGTTCCGATATGACGCTTCTTCACCCGTGTGTCTTCGAAAAGTGCAACGATCCCGTTAAATTAGTCAGAAAACGGGCGCAAAGTGCAGGTTATTACGTGAACCTTAGGGGGCATGCGCGGAAATGTCATGGCAGTCTAAGACGCGTCAGTTTGCATGCTATTTATTTGATATTTTACATAAAGCCACAAAAAGTAGGAAATTGAATTTTTAAATGGATTTTCTTCAAGTAAAAGCCACCCCAGTTCAATTTTTACAAAAAACTATTTATTATTAAACAAAACACTACTACTACATATATGTTGAAATTACATTGGTGGTAAATATAAAACAAATTCAAAATATCTGCGTTTGCATAATTATGTGCCATCTCGCTTTCTCAAACAAATGCAACTTTTAACTATGAGAAATCCGAATACATCTAGACATGTCAGTTATTTTTTTACAGGAAACGTCACCATGGCCGGTCAGAGCCTACTACCCAGATGGAAAGTGGTTACTTTAGTTCGCTTCTATTGCAATATTTTGTTTTTTTGCTGGTAACTCGAAAACCGGTGAAAATAGATATACCATAGTTTAAATTAAAATTCCCACGTAACATATATTTTCCAATCTTGCCAACCAAAAATTCAAGTGTACCGGTTGCGAAAATAATTATCATTTTATATCGGGTATTTTGTAGCCAAATTTTTAAAAAAACTATTTTTTACCTCTGAAAATGTTCAAGATCGGTATGGCACATGTTACATAAAAAGTTCCAGAATGTTTCGCAGAATCTAAACATGTAATGATATACAGGTGAAAGTTGATATACGTTACGAGTCTATCTGGCAGCACCGCATGGCTAAAAATATTTTACGTAGGTAGCTCACAAGACATACGTTCGCCAAAATTATCGATCGCACGTGGTCGTTTGTGACGTAAGCGAAGTCCTCTAACAGTTTTTGTGTATTCTGTCAATGCATTTGAAGGCGTATTAAACCGTTGTATTTTGTGTTCTTTGAACAATTAAAATAATTTAGATTAGTGAGTATTGTATTTCTGTAAAACAAACTTGGACAAAACAGTGTTTTTAAGCTTTAACATATACTTTAAAATTGTATGTGCTTGAGTGGCGAGAACTGAGAAAAACAGTATTTTTAACCTTAAACAAAAACTAAGTTTTGTGTTCGTGCTGCTTATTAGCAGTTAGTTAGGAGGTAAGCTCAAAATATTACACGTAATAATATAGGTGAAGATAAGAAATACATTTCTTTTACCTTTTTCAGTGGGATAAGTTACATCAAAAAATAGGTAGGTATGCATGGAACGAGATGTGCGATGTATGGGTGGAATAGCAACTATTTTGATGAAAAAGCAAGTTCTCGAAAATGTAGTTTTCATCGCTTTCCCAAAGGGAAAGATCTAGTATCCCGAACTATTCGGAACTAGTGGATAGTTCGATGTAGAAGAGAGGACAAACTTATTCCAGATAAAAGCTATGTCTGTTCAGTTCATTTTACTGAAAATGATTACGAAGGAGACTTACAAAATGAGTTATTAGGTATTTTTTTGTCTTGAGTAACACATTAAATTCACCACAAAATTTAAATTTTACGTTTACCTTTAAAAAAGATTTAAAAAAACTGCTGTTCCCACCCTATTATTATACCAGAAGCTACCAACAGAAGCAGGATTATCTAGATCAAAGAGACTCCATTCCAAAAATGCCAAAAAAGAAGCTCAGCAGGTATTGTCTGAGCTTTTAGCAACAACATCGAATGCCACAAGTGAAATTCCATGCCAGAACCCATCTCCGAACCCCAAATAATAAATTATAATGCTAAGTATATGGATTTGTTGGATGGTTTTAATAATTTAACCAAAAAATATTCTGCAAGTTATCACAGTAGACAGTTGACTAAAACCCCTTCCTCATGTGACACAAAAGCAATACTCCAAAACTACATGTATAATGACGACATTTATTTTCACGAATATTATACCAAAAAGTAATTAATTCAGGTTCTTCAAAGCTTGGACCTACAAAAGGAATACGTTTGCACCAACTAAAATCTGCCATTCTTCGTAACAATGTTTTTCCCCGTGTTAACTCCAATGTCCTCAAACTTATAGAAACCGAAGTTTTTAACATCCCTCCACAAAGTTGGGCAAATTCTGTTAAACATATAGAAAAAGCAGAACAATCGTATAACCATATTGCAAATAATATAGAACAAATAATAATTAGAACAGGCGATGATAGCGATAGTGATACTGATTTAAGTAGGTGATAAAAATAATTTGTAATTTTATTTTAGATTTAAACATAAATACATACATAAATAAATGTTGTTTAGTATCTTTCCTAATAAAACCCTAAATAATTAAATTCTAAGCAAAGTACGGACCTGTTCGGCCATATTTCATTCTTACAGCTTGCCCAGGTCTTTCCTTAATTCGTATGAGTTAGTCACTTTCTTATATCAATGAACAGACTTTAGCTCATATTCCCTTAAATAAGTAACCAACATTTAAGGTTTTTACTGTACATTTATTTATATTATACTTATATTTATTTTTCTCCATACATTGGGCTCATTTTTTTTATCAAATATAATTCAGTCGTAGGGTGTGTTTGTCAACCCATTTTAATTTAATTGGCCCCCGTGGATCGGGGGCTAATAATTACGTCACGTAAGCGCCTTGACCCGGATCCCGGCTTCTGGTTCCGCGAACCGCAAGATCCTCATTTGGGCGTCGTAAAAGGGTGAACAACCCGCATTGTGTATGCTTTCGCGTATCTTGGCAACCGTTTCGATCAAATAAGCGCTGTGGATTTGCGGTCTCTCAGTCAGTCCACCGCGCTCACCCGACGCGGGTCCCGGTGACTGGTTTTCCTCGTCGGGCGAATTTCCCTTCTTGCGTCGCGGTAACCTGCGGGTAAGTATCGTCCATGGCGACGTTACACCTTCCGGTTAAATAATGACAATATTTATATTTACGGGCGACAAACCGATCAATCGTTTAGAATTACGGTCTCCGTCTTTGTATTCCAGCGTGACGTAGCGTTATCGCATAGACCGATAAATCATTCAACACATCGTTCCAGAGAAAAAGTGAGAGAAAACTCCCGCCCGTCGAAAATAATCTGAAACATAATCCAAAACCAATTTCTCAACCTTTTTCGCGTTCCACCTCTGAGACCACCTCAAGGAAAAGCATATTCCTTCAAGTTTCTTGCAAAAAAACTCACCTTAACCAAAATAGGAGAATTACTTTTAAACGTCACTACCAAACTCCCAGCATCATTTTGAACTTCTTTGGAAGTGCCCTTAAAACGATATAGAGCTTTTTTTTGTTGCATCCACAAATACATTTATTTTTTAATTTACTAAACTTTCGTGTATAACTTTAACTGTAAAATCGTATTCCACATATAGAAAGCAATGCTTTGATGTGCACGGCTTCGATTTCGATTTCTTCCGGTGTTCCCCACGGCAGCCATCTCGGGCCTCTATTTTTCAATATACACATAAAAAAAATGAAAATCTCTCCTTTTAACTGCGAAACGCCCCTTTGTTATGGTAATTTTAAAAGCCACTTTAGGATTCACTACTCAGCCGAGAGTCCGATCTTGACAGATTTGTAACTGTCAAAGTGAAAACTTATTCTCAATCTTGGAAAATGTCAAACTGTAGAAACACTACTATAACTTTTGATCCTTAAAAAGCTGTATAATTCGTTACTTTAAAGCAAACCTAGCTTTGGTCCTTCTGTTTTTAACTCGCAATAGCAAAAATACGAGGTGTGTTCGAAAAGTGAAGTGACTTTTGTAATTGGGTCGCAAAATCAAGCGACAAAAAATCACTTTCACTTGAATAACATCAATTGGCGAATTGACGTCTTAAAATGTCGTTTAACAGTTCTACCAACTCATTGAATTTGAAGGTTATGTGTGACGAGTCTCGTTGTTTTGGAACAGTATTTATTTATAATAATTTATAGTGAATTGAAATGGTTAAGCCCCAGCTTGAACTAGTCCGTCTTAGTTAATGAAATGTTTAAAAGACCAGCTTTTTGGGAAAATACAAGTATGGAATGGAAGAAGAACAATTCCTCTTCTCCGGTGGCAACAACTTAACATCATAGAAAAAGAGTTTCTCTACTTGGAAAAACTCTAAACACGAAATTCACACCACAGAAAACCAACTGTATTACATAAACGTTCACAAATAAAAGGCTCGAAGCTATACATACACCGTTTGTCTAATTACGCATTCGAAATCTACATCTCAAGAGTTTTATTTAAGGCACGAACCTCGCAACATCTCATTAATTTTATAAATGGTCATCATTTAACGAACCCTTTTAGCAGTTGATGTTGATGATCACTTATGGAGCCCGTTTCCGAATTTAAAAAATAATAAGCTTGCATCGCGCACGATCCTTTGCTGATAATAATAATAGGAGCCACGTAACCATCATCACTTGTACCACCATCTGCGATTTCATTCTGCTTATAACAACAATAACCTTAAAAGTTTTGAATTTCATACAAGCCTCAACTTTAGTTTTCAAAAAATATACAAAGGCCGTCTTGCTATGATCATCCTTGAGAATCGTAAAATATTTTGTTTCTCTCAATCACTTGACTTTCATAAGGCTATACAAGTCAATGTGTCTCTTGAACCCTTGTTTAGCTCTAAATCTCCTATGCTTTTATTCATTAATTCGAGATCTTTGGATCCTTAGAAGTCCTAACCTCCGGTGCCAAGTTTTGCCTGAGATACCAATTGAACTGCTCAATAAAATTGTATAATTTTGTGTTTTCACATTCCTTATTGAAAATCTTACAACCACCAGGTTCTAATGCACTATATTTCTGGTCGAAGCATACTTAACATGAAGGTTATTTTTAAAATTTAGTTATTTCAATTAACCAATATTATAAGAATGTTAAATTCTCAAATTCGAGATATGTAAATGAAGCTTCGTGTATGTGTAACCCGTGCCAACGATCCATTTTTCCGCAAAATGGCGCCATCGCCCGCATACGCGGTGACGTAACGACGTGTAGTAAAAGTGAAATCGGCCCTGATCACGCACCGACGCTTTGAAACAGGTGGAGGTCGCGATATGACCGCCTCCCGCGCCCTCTCTCTGGTCGAACGGAAGAAGCTCCAATGGGCCAAAGAACGGGGTATAAAGACCGACTCGTAGCCGTCGCGTAGCTTCACGGGTTTGTTTTAGAAGAGCTGGCACGTTTGGGAGCTCCTTGGGGACCCGCCGCGTCCAGACGTGGCAGCCTGCCCCCCCTCCACAAGAACCAGTTCAGCTCGTCGGGGGGCTGCGACGGGGGCGGCGAGACCTCCGGTTACGGCAGCGACAACAACCCCACGCCCGAAACGGGCAGAGGGTACGAGTCCTCGTCGAGTTGTCGCGACGACAGACCCAGGTGGGGCGACAAGGCCAAATTCTGGAGGGCGCCGGACGATCACAAGGCCAGCGAGCCGCCCAATTGGGTCAAGAGGGGTCTCCAAGACGGCGCCATAGTGGTCGCGAATTCTTCGCCCTCCGTTTCGCCGGAACAGAGGTACGAAGAATGCGACAGGCCCGGCACGAGCTCGACCTTCAGCAACCACAGGTATGCGGGTAAAGTTGTAAGAGGAGGCGACGCGGCGAGGGCTTTTCAGGACGTACATCAGGGGTCAGAACATCCCGTTGGACGCGCTCGAGCTGGCGGAACGCGAACGACGCAGGCAGATGGCGCTCGCGCACCAGGAGGCCATCAGGCAGCAGCTGGAGGAGCGCGAAAGGAGACGACGGGAGGAGAGGGAGAGGCGTGAAAAGGAGGAACGCGAGGAGGAGATGAGGATCGAGAGGGAGCGCGAAAACGACCGCCTGCGCAAGCTGGAGGAGGAGAGAGCGCTGCAGGAGAAACTGCAGAGGGAGAGGAAGAGGAAGGAGGCATTGAGCGAGGCCGTCGAGGTGGCCGAGAAGGAGGCGAAGCTAGAAAAGATGAGGCTGAGGTTGCGAAAGATCGAGGACGCAGAGGAGGTGGGGAAAGCGACCGTCGCCGACGTCAAAGAGGAGGACGCGGCGAAACCTGCCAGCCCCGCGGATGAGATCATTAACAACCTCCAAGAGACATCGGATAACGCGTTGGCCAAAAGTTCGCCCCGTCGGAACAGTACGCCCGTGATCTCTACCCCCAGGGTCGACAATAATTTTGCTTTCGTCATGCATCCGTCGCTGGAAAACTTACAGTACGCCCTGCTGATTCCCGCCACCCCCCAGCTACCCATAGCCATCCCCATGAGTATTCCTACGACTGCCAGAACGATAGATACCAGGGTGCTCACCCCCACTAGGTTCAGGACAAAGTGCGACAGCAGTACCCAAACCGACCTCAGCATATCTTCCGCGAGGTCCTCGTCGGAAACGAACGACTGCTGCCGCGAGAAATACCTGCGCGAAAAGTTGACCAACCTCGAGCTCAGCTACGAGAGATCGAGGAAAGGGAGGAGGAGCCGGAGCGAAAGCACAGAGGAGAGGCCCAAGTGGGGGGTGAACCGACCTCCGACGAGGTACCTGAAACAGAGCGAGAAGGACCCGCTCTATCAGCGACGCAAGCTGAGGCAGAAACAGCGTCGGGAGAGCGAGAAGAACTCGAGCGACGAAAGTCAGACGGGAACCCCCAAGTCGTACCGGAAAAAGATCCACGGGAGGGCCAAGTGGAGGACGCGGGAGGAGATGTTCACGAGGAACGTGGAAATGTACCAGCTGGAGGCCGACGGCGATCGGATTTACTACAAGTGTTGCTGCAGGTGCAAGTGTCGGAGGCGCGACTGCGCCGACGTGTTAAAAATCGCGGAGGGTTCCCCCCGCGGGGGTTGCGATGTAGATGCAGACAATAAAGTCGATATCCTGAGCAAGTTGTCTTCTTTGCGTTCCGGCCTCCTGTTGGAGCGGGAGCGGTGGGAGAACTCCCCCAGGTCCCCCGCCGCGACCCACCGAGACTGACGTCGGCGCGTTTCCTCAGAATGGCCAAGCTGGACGACTTCCTCGGCAAAAAGAAGGAGGCCGCCCCCATCCTCGACCTCTCGAAGACGGTGGTCGGTAGCAGCGAGGAGTTCAGACGGCTGCTCGAAAAAGTGCCGGACTTCAAGATAAAACCGGAAAAACCCTCGACGGAGGCGGTCAAACTGCGAGACAAGGGCTGGAGGTTCAAGTCGGGCAAGAAGGACCTGAAGCGTAGCAGGGAGGCGTACGCGTTCGCGAACCCCCTCCCCGTCGAGATGCAGGGTTTGAGACTGGACGACCTCTCCGCGGTGACCATCGACTGGAAGATGCTGACCACGGAAAGGCCCAAGACCAAGACGGAGGAAAACTACTTCTCCAGGTAAGTCTCGGGCGTGGTACGACAAGGTGACGTTGAGGACTGGCGGTTTAGGTTGGTAGAACTGGGCAAGTCGCAGCGCAGGACGAGGGCTCAGGAGAAGCGACAACTTCAAATGGACCCACAGGTGCGCAGGATCAAAAATAAATCAGGGGTGCTCGAGATGAGGGTCGTGTCTTGCGCAGAATGCGGCGAAGACTTTTGCAACGGTAAGATGGCGCTTGTAACCGTCAACCTTTGGAGGTAAAACTCGTGGTTTCCAGGTAAAGTGTGCTGCAAGTTCGGGTACGATTCTTTCGCGAGGACGCCCGAGACGCCGACGACCGCGCAAAAGGCGAAGTCGCCGACCGGTGCGGATAAAGTCAAGCGCAAGATCAAGAGGAAGTCGAGGTCGAAGAGCGGGAAGAAGGGCGGGGCGAGGTCCAAGTCGCCGAGGAAGCGCAGCCCTTCTAAAAAGGGAAAATGAACGGTTTCGCAGTTGATTCCAGGAAATAAAAACGAACCACGAGCTGTAGTCTTTTTTCCCGCGGTTCGCTACATTTTTCAACAACCGGCAACGTCGCTTTGACGAATTCAGTGTTCGGTAAGCACAAGGATACGTGTTGGCATATTTTTCAAACTTTTTAACATTTTCTTAAGATTTTCGAAAAAAAAAATTTTTTTTAACTTTATTTTTAAACATTGAAAAATTGAATTGAATTGGAATTGAAAAAAGTAATAACATATTGTGTGCTCTATTTAAAATAAGCAAGTTGACGTCAACTGCGCACATTACCGGAAGTGTTCCCATCTTCAAAAGGATTTTGAGTAGAGTACGCAATTTTTTGTAGCCCAGCACTAAGTATATTAAAGTTAATCTCTTTTAGTACATTGTTCACAGTCATTTTCTCCTCAATTTCCGCAGACACAAAACAAGTGTAATTGACTGACTGTAATCGCTTTGGATTGGCCAGTTTTGAGGAGACAGGAGTGAGGAAGGGTTTACTAAAACCACCTATTTTGCAAATACGTTTTATAATACCAATATAAAACTATATACAGAGTGTATCAAATCGGCTAGTATTATCACATTTTCGACGTAGATATTGGTAAGCCACATATTTTGCTCGATGCAAAAAAAAAATAAAACGGTAAGTAACTCAGCTAAGCGAACCGTATAAGTACTACTCGAAACTCAAATAAAAATACCCTAAGAAACGAGGGGAGGGGGAAAAACCGAATAAATATCCCTAAAAATTAAGTATAGCTGCGCGACCATAAAACTGGCTTGGGATCGTCTTACTTTTTCCGTTTTCGAAAAAAAACTTTGGCACGAAAAAATCGAGAAAGATGCGGGCGCGGCGCCGACCTCGGATCCGCCTCGAAGGACCGGATAGTCGCCCGAAATCCCGCGGCGTTTAAACACTAACAAACTTAACAACGTTTTTTAATACTATTCACGTCACAGCCTGTCTCTCGGATGGGGAACCCCGGGATCCTAGTAGGCCTCCTCGCCGCCCTCCATGTGAGCGAGGAGCTGCTTCTTGTCGTCCCGCCCCCGTCTTGGCTCGAAGCAGGGCTGCAATGGAGACAGTTTTGGTTGGTTGCGGAACCAGCGAGACAAATTTGCAGTAGTGTGTACAGGGTCTTTTCTAATGTCAATAATTTAGGGGACGATTTTTGGGTCCATTTTTTTAAGGGCGGTAAAAGAATAAAATATATTTTTTTTATATCTGTAATACCACTTTAGATATTTTACTGTGTATTAAGAGGCATTCTTTATACCACAATTTTTTAAAAATAAACCAGTGGCGGGCGCACAGAATTTCACCTGTCTATTTTGGTAGACATTGATGGTATGCCACTGATTTCTCTTAAAATAAAAATTATTCTTAAAAAAAAAACAAAAACCTCCTCTCTGCATGATTATAACAATGCTAATATGAGAGCAAGCAGAGAAATTAGTTTTTATTTTTAAGTCAAAACTGCTCATATGCAAATGCCGTTATTATTTTTAAGGAAATCAGTGGCGTGCCATTGACTGTCTATGAACAGATAATATTTTGGTTAATTAGGTCGCCAAGCAATATCTAGTGTTGAGTTATCAATTAGTGTCTTTCAGGGAAAAAATATTAGAAGACTGTTCATTTTATTTTTACGGTTTTAATGAAATAACATCCTAACGACAAGATAAATAATAAGCGATTCTTATTTTTTAAAAAACACTACCTACTATTAATAATTTTTAACAAAATTGTCCGTTAATAAATTAATGGCAACCTTTTTGAAAAAAAGTGGAACATCGAAACTTGATAACTTGTTGAAAGTGTCCTCCACGCTTCATCTCTTTTCCTCATATTGCCGCGCATTCTTTGAAGTATACCTCCAGTCTCACTCTCACTCGCTCACTTTTTAGATGCCCCCTATAGGAAAAAGTCCAAACCATTTAAATCTGGAGATCTAGGGGGCCCGCCACGACCTACCCATCGGTTATTGAATATGTGGTTTAAATATTTTTTCTTTATTAAATATGGTACTTTTTCTAGTAATATTGGGAAATCCTCTTCTAAAAATCGGCGACAATTATATTATTTCCGGCCATACTGGCAGGAAAAAGGGTCTATTTAATAATTTCTAACAATTCCGGCCAAAGCATTTACCGAAAACTGTACATCGGATTGAAAAAAATCAAGAAATTGCTTTAGGAATGATGTGCCAAAATGGACAGCGGAAATTCCACTTCAAAAAGATGGGTACAATAAATAAATATATAAAAAAAATTTTTTGTTTAATACTTTGACAAGAACGTCACAAGATGTGCCAGAATCCACAGAGAGTAGTTAAGACCCAAAACACAACGATAACTGGGCTGTTTAACTGGAAGAGACGACGAAGGAATTGGCGACTCGCCTAATATCAAGAACGAAGAAGAAGAAGAAAGATCAGAATGTTGTCATATGTCGTGGAAATGGATTTTCTTAGAAGATCGCGAGACGAGATTAGATACCGTACAAATCGATTGCACAGAACAACCAAATTGAAACAAAACAACTCGTACAAATGAAGGAAAATAAATGGGCCGAGAGAAGCTTTTGAATATGCTCCACCAAAATAAAAGAAAACGAGAAAACTGCAGAGATTGGCATGCCTCTGCATAACGGGCGCCACGAAGACGGCACCCACGAGGGCCCTAGGGGCTCTGGTGGGTTTGCCCTCTCCGGCGGATCGGGTGCGGATGGAGGCGGCCAGGACGGATGTCAGGCTAGCGAATTGTGGGCTCTGGAGAGAGGGACCCTTCAAGCGGGGCCCGTACGACATTTTAGAGGGCTGGCCCGGCGATCGCGGTGTCATGGGCATCCCCGAGATGACCTTCTTTGACAAATGGACCTTTGTCTTCCCATCAAGGTAAGACTGGAGAGAGGGCAGACGCACCGGCATATGGGACCGGAGCCCCGCTGGGAAATCGCCCCGTGCGTGAAGCGGGGAGCTCGCGAAGCCGTGGTGGGCTGGAGGGTTGCTCTGGGAATGAGGCAGGCGAGGCTTATGATGGATGGGCCCGCCCTCCCTCGGACCAGGGAGCTGCTTAGACTGACCAGAAGGGAGTGTAGAGCACTAACAGGGGTCTACACAGGACGTTGCATGCTTGCTAGGCATTGGAAACGACCCTGGGTGCAGCTGGTGCATGGAAGGGGAGGACACCCCGTATCATCTGCTCACCCAGTGCCCTGCTTTGACTTGGGCAAGATTTGGAACGGCCCTGATCGATCGAGGGGCGGCATTCTGGACGCCCTCTAGCGCGATCTGGAGGCACAACGGGCCCATCTGGTTAATACCAATTCCAACGCTCCACCAAAATGAAAGAAAACGAGGGAGACCGGTTACCACATGACTGGATGGAGTTAGGACTCTAAGGGGCAGGGCAATAAATGAAGTGGCCCGCGGAATTTATAAGCGGTGTTTTCAAATCGAGCGCCAATATTTCCTGGGGTGATTTTTGCGCAGGTGAATATGTCAGAAACGCGTGGCGCTCACCGTTTCGCAGACGTTCATGTTGCAACAGTTCTCGATGGTGATCTCGCAGTGTTCGGTAGCGGCGGGCCGCGGCCTGTACGTCAACGGCGTCACGTTCTTGTTGACGATGATCCTCTTCTTGATGGTGGGCCGGCGACGCCTGTTCACCGCGATGTAGGCGGCCATCGCGCCGATAATCACCACGCAGAACGCGACGAGCATCAGCAGCGTCGAGTAGGCGGGGTCCTCGACGACTTTCGTCCAAAAGGTGCGCTCGGGCGGCGGGGCTACGATCCGTGCCGAAGTCGCGTTGCATCCGCAGACCGACCCGAAGTCGTCCGAGGTCGAAACGTCGTCGCAATAGGCACGACACAGTTCTGACAGCTCGGCGGAGATCTCGCACCTGGTGCCTGCGAAGCCGCTTCGACACCGGCACTCGGGGCCGCCCCGGGTGTGGACGCACGCGCCGTCGTTGAGACAGTAGGCGGAGCAAGCGTCCGCTTGGCACCTGGCGCCTCCGTAACCGCTCGGGCACCGGCACTGGGGGTAGCCCGTCGGGGACAACCTGCAGGTGCCTCGGATGCAGAAATTGTGGCAGTTCTCGGTCTCGCAGTATCTCCCCGTGTACCCCCTGCGACACTGGCACGTCTTGCCGTCTACCAAGTCGCCGCCGTTGAGGCAACGCGGCGCCTCCTCCGTGCCGGTCTCCACCTCGAACACCTCCGCCTCCGCTTCGCCGCCTTGGCGTTCTATCGCGAGCTCCAGCTCCTTACAGTCGGGGTAGTTCCTGACCTGCAGGTTCTTGGCGACGAGCCCCATCGGTTTCTCGAGGTACTCTCGGATCTTCTCGGGGGCGGCGCCGCGCCGCCTCTTCGCGAACCGCCACAGCGCGTTGTCGTTGACGTCGGTCCAGTAGACGGCGACCTCGTCGACGGCGACGCCGAACGGTTTCGTGTGGGTCCCCTCGTAGACGATTTCGCGGTCGGTGCCGTCCAAGTTAGCGCTGTCTATGCGATAGTAGATGCCTTCCCGCATGTCCGCCCAATAAATCCTGCGCTGTGTGTAGTCGATGGCGATACCGGCGGGCATCCGCAGGTCCGAGTCGACCAGCACCTGGCGAGCGGTGCCGTCGAGTTTCGCGCGCTCTATGGTCGGCCGGTCCAGGTCCGAGTTGGTCCAGTAGACGTAACGGCGGCACACGTCGACCGCGATGTCCTGCGGCGACTGGTCGCCGAAAGCGAACAACAAACGCGGCTCGAACGAAGTGAGGTTAAGTTTGACGGAACTGATGGTGCGGTTTACCGAGTCCGTCCAGTAGAGGACGTCCTCGATGGGGTCGACGGCCAGGCCCTGCGACCAACATTAAAAAAAAATGTCGCAATGCCCTCAGAAGGTACTGGCATTTGGATAATAATCACATTTAATAACTACCGGTGAAGTATGGTTAAGTTTTTTGGGACGCTTTTCTCACGGGGTTGTTGTCTAACTTAAAAGAAAGCCATATCGTTGCAACTCTTTTTTTTAGAAAATTAATTTCATTGCGATTATGTAGGGAGACGCCAGCTCGTGGAAAGATGAGCAATCGCACCTCCCACGCACGATTTGTAGCCCCTTTACTACAATGTGTCAAGAGTTTTTTATTTATTTATTTACATACACCGTTCAACAGGATAAATCCAACTACAGAACAGGGACACCAAAGGGACAAATTAAAAAAAAAAATGCTAATACAACGTAAAATAAAACAAAAATAATTATATGCCATTCCTTAAAAAACATATTTTAACATCATATACAGAAGAGAAAATTTATCAAGGTGGAAACTTGCCGAGCTAATAATAATAATGTTTATTTCCATTGACTTTTAACAAAAGTATCGGATAATGTCAACAAGTAAGAAAAAAAATAGATACTGAGAGATCGGCATTACTACAATCAAAGTATTCTTGGCTTGGGCTTATTTTCGCTGACAATTGACAATTTTAAAAACTTCTTGAGTAATTTTGTGGTAAACTAAAAACGGTTTTGTAACTTTCCATTTCCTTTCCGACCTATTCGGTGCCCTTCGAAGGTGTTGGAAAAGAACTAACTTATTTGTATTTTAGGTTATGTTATGTTACGTTTAAAAAGAGTCATATAGTTACATTTTTTTTCAGAAAATTTATTTAATTGTGATTATGTAAGAAGACGTCAGCTCGTGGAAAGGTACGTTTTGTACGATTTGTAGTCCAGCTCTTTCTGGCGCCTCCAAAATTACTACAAAAAAGGTTTAAATTTGTCTCTACTTTAAAACGGAAAACAAAAAAACGGAAATTATCAATTTGATTTTAAGATATAATCAACATTTGTGAGCATCATTGAGAAATCAATATTTTTGAAAAATATATTTTTTTAAAACAATAAAAATCGTGTGCAAATAAGTGTTCTCTGCCATTTTCTGACAAATAGATTTTTTGAAATATTAAGAGAGACCATATTGTGTGATCCCAGATAATCATGCTTATTGCTAGCTTAAAGATTCTTGCCAAGTAAGGATAACGATCATGTTTGTCCAAATTCAACGTTCTCAAATATCGGTAACGGTGCATTACCAAGTCATTAAATTTTCTTGGGTAATTTTGTCGGTTTTGCTAAAACGGTTTTGCAACTTTCGAGGCATGAATTTGACAGGCGCAGATTTTTATGTATGGAAAAGGAATCAGTAAATTTTGAGGTTATTTAAACAATTCTTGGAGAAAGAATATTGGAATATCAATGTAGCAATCCTTATGAAATGCCAAGGGAGAAATGTATTAATTTATTTATACTTCATACAAGCTCCACAACTAAGATAAAATTCCCCTCCATTGCCAGGAAAACAAAAAGGGCGAAAGCATAATTAGGATACTATTTCATTTCATCGACTTTATCTATTGTAAAACTTCCCTTACTTTTCGTTCAATTTCATCTTTGGATCAAGTGGGCAGTATTACGTCACATAAATGTTTTGTTATGTTGTACCTGAACGTCATCTGGAAGATCCGGTATTATGGGCGTGATTTCAGTCTCCTTGGTCAGTTGCACGGCGAAGATGGTGTCGTTCTCTTGGTCCATGTCGCTCACGACGAACTGGTGACGCACGGCGTCGAACGTCAGCGCCTTGAGTTTGGTGAACTGCTCTGTAGTGGCACCAACCACGGTTCCGTTGGCCTGGAGCAGTTCGATCCGGTCGTTCACCACCACGGCCAACTCTGCGACACGGACGCTCTTTTTACCTTCACGATTATCCGTAAACTTTTATTTATACAGTATATTATAGGATTTCCTGTCTCCTCGTTCCTATGTTTAGCGGTTTTTGAGAAACTAATTGATTTCCCCTATGTTTTGCGCAAAACGTAGAGCACCAATTAAATTAAAGTAATCAACAGGTCACAATCAACCAGCAATTAGCAAATAAAAAAAGAACACGTACACAAAGCTGAACGTGCTACTTTTTAATCATTAATTATAAGTTTTACAAATATGAGCAAATGGCATATGTACGGTCTACTAATACATATACAAAAAATGGCACATGTTTCCGTCTTTTTTAATTACAGTTACCAACAAATGTATATGGATTTTTTAAAGCTAGCTAAGAAATAAGAAAGTCGTATTCATTTCTGAGAAAACAGAGAACTGTAGAAAAAATCTGAGTACGTCACTGCATTTGCTTTAAAAAAAAAGTAATAATGTTTTTAAAAAAGTTACGGGAAATTTTCAAAAGGGCCGAAAACTGAAAAACGCTCTATATCTCGCGGTTGGTAGTGACGCTTTGGACATGCGGTTAAATGTTTCTCAAAAATCGAGGCATTGGCGTTTAAGTCGGTTTTGCACGATCTAGTTCAGAAATAGTTTTTTCCCGTTAAAACACTCCGATTACGACCACCCTGTACATGGTAAGTTACGGTTATTAAAATTTGAAGCTTCGTATATTATTTCAAAAAGTCCTCGCACGCAACAAACTCGATGCTACTTTTTCGACGGAGCGGCAACGTCGCATCGCTGTAAATATGTTAGATCGATATATGAAAGGCCGAATTTTCAGAACATTTACTACGTCCCGTTCACCGAAAATCTCGCCGTTTCCGAATGTCGAGTATTTCATCGTTATTAGTTAATTAAAGACGATGAAAAAGTGAGGTTACGCGCGTCGCCAATCGACCGCGCGCAAAAACTTCTTCAAATCGACAGCGGCGCCGATTTACAATTTTGAATTTTATTATCGGCGAAAAAACCGAATAATCCGCGTCGCACCTACTTATTATTGCAAAGGTCAAGCGTTCCGATTGACGTTTCGCGATCGACGCACACTTTTTACGCAATTCCACTCGAAACGAGCGAGATTATTTTTTAAGTTGTTTGCCGAAGCGACACGCGCATTTATCAAAACGCACTCGCGAGGCCGCCTCGATTTCCTCGACGGTAACGGCTTCTCGGTCCGTGATGCATAAAACACGAATTTTTCACGAATCGCTACCGCGCTACGTCACACCTGTAACCCGCGCGCGTGTTCAAAGCCGCCCGCGATCGATGGGCCACGTGGACCGCGGAGGCCCTTCTGCGTGCCGTTAGTCACGTAGGCCGTACGGCCGAAGAAACTCGACACCTCGCCGCGAGCGTCAAGGCACTTCCGCGTCGGAAACTTCCGGTCGAATAATTAATTAAAACGAAAAAAAAAAAACGCGACTATTTAACCGAGAAACGTCACTTTTTTTTGTTACGCGGACCTTGCAGGGTCAAGCGGCGTGACGTCACCTTGACGCGTCCTTTAATCAAAGCACGACCTGAGCGGGCTTTAATCGGGGCAAAAAATTATTTGCGGTCTGTGTTCGAGGAAAAAAAAACGCCGTACAGTCTTATTCGAAGATTCTGATTTTCTCGCAACTTTTTCCGCGACACCGCTCGTTTATTTTATTCTCAAAACAAACGCGCGCGCCTTATCAAATTGCATTTTCGCGTTACGTAACGTCGATTACGCGAGAAAATCAAAAACGGTCGGACGCGTGTCGCTCGGGGAGCCTACGTGACCAGGATTCCCGGCCGCATGGCGCGCCAATTACACGCTCGCCGACCGGCCAAACTTACCCCAGTCGCTGTACTCTTCGCTGGCGGCGGCAAAACACGCCAAAAACCAAACGGCCGCCACTTTATCAAACATTTTTCCCCGTCGTTAATTATTCGACAAAATACTCGCGAAAAACGGCCAGCGGGTATCGAAAGCACGGCACATGCGATCCGCGCGGCTCCACCAGTCAACAGCACGAGGCGACGGCGCTCTCTCCGATTTTAAAACGGCCCACACCGATAGTTCGGTGTCGTTCCTTTTTTAGCACACGGAGCGTCTCTGTCCGGCGTACGCCAGCGGCGGCGTATTCAGAGCGACGAGGCAAGTGCTCCGGCGCTTATTTAATTATTTACTGAAAATTGACAGCGAGGGCGGACGCACACGTCGAGCGTACCAATATAGTATTCTGTGGTACGAGTCGGCGCTAGTGACGTAAGTGCCCTAGATCTAGCCGATCGGACACGCTCTTGCGTATTTCGGCCCCGCTGACGCCGCCGCCCTAGAAGCCGACGATTTACCTGAAAGTGGAAGCGCCTAACGCGCGCGGTGTGAAGCCGCCTTGCGCGAAACCGTCGACTGTCAAACGCCGCGTGACAGAAGGTTTTCGATTTTTCGGAGTTGTGCGAGAAACGGGATCGTAAGGAACGCGAGTGTTTGGGAGCTTTTCGCGTGCGTTTCGGTGTTTCGTGCGAGTGATTCGGGGCGTCAAAGAACACCCAGGTAAGTGTTTGCGCTGCGAGCGAGTCAAATGCAACACGACGACGTGCGCTACCTGTTGTCGTCGGCATGGTAGGTTAAGCGGTTGTTTGTCGGTACATCAGTGTTGAACTAACGCCCAGTAACCGTGCGAGTTTGTGCCTGTGATAACCGTGATAACACCCAACTAACCACGCACGAGCACCGCCGAGGACGGGATGGGAACAGGTGAGTCAGTAGGATAGTTTTGCCGTGTCGGTTGGGAAACTGGGGGCGGCCGCATGCAAAAGGGCCCGGCGCACGCGGATTATCGCGCTAAAATCCGCTAAAATTTGCTTTAAATTCCGTTAAACGCGTTTTTTTTGACGTCGGGTGCCGAAGGTAGGCAACACAAAATACGCGGCAGTCGCCATCGAAGGTGTGGCGAAGGCGCGGCGCCAAGCGGTCTCTCTCGCATCGGGAGTCTGATGTAAAAACGTTGTTTTGCACATTGACGGTTTGATTTGGGAAGTCTCATTTCATATGTAAACATATAAACATAGGCGGGTATAAGTATTTTTTGTTATTGCGAAAATACTTAACAATTTCTGTTTTCTTTGACGTATGGTATTTATAAGTCTTTGCACAGCAAATTATAATAACAATAATAGTAAATAGTCTTTATTAGCATTACATGGGCGAAATCTGGCATTAAGGCCACTCACATTTAACCCATTTCTAACTACAACTACATATAAATTTCAAGTGATATACATGCTTTCTAAGGGATTATTTTACATTAAGTTCAGTAACTGTTTTTTTAAATGTAATCTAAAATTTGTACATGAATCAAGTAACTTTGATTTGAGGCTGCTATTTCAGGAGTTGAACAAGCTTACAGCGTTATATGTAAAAGAACATCGAATTTTTTTTGTTTTGTGCAATGGCATAGTGAGTGATGATTCAATACATGAATGGATTTCCTAAATACTAATTTGTCATTCAAATATTTTGGATTGTTGGAATTTATTACACGTTTCAAACAGCATAAAAAGTTGTATTTGAAAACATAAGATTGTTGTCAACGTATAATTTCATTTTGGACTTCAAACTGTTTCTTTTCCTCTTAGGTGCAAAAATAATGACACTACACTTTGATGGATTTAAACGTAAATTGTGACCCTCCGCCAAGGTGACTATGTTTTCCTAATCCTTATTTACGCTGTTCACTGTCTCCTCGCAACGGTCGAGTTCGAAACTATGGAACAATTGCGTATCATCGGCAAAAAATTGTACTTGGCAACTACACCGCCCAAATCTGCTGTATAAATCAAAAACCATAATGGACCTAATACTGAACCCTATGGTACCCCTGATGGAATATCTAGAGTAGTTGATAGCCGGTCCTGCAACAGAACTTTTTTACGCCTGTTACGACTCAAAAAAGCTTAACGTTTTGTCATCAAATCCCATATACCGACACTTGGCAATCAACAGTCTATGATTGATAGTATCATTGATAGTAAAATCCAGTAGGACCAGAGCCGTCACCCGCCCTCGGGATTTCATCACACAAGTTTAATAGCGAAGTATCCGTGCTATGCCCTTTCCTAAAACTAGATTGGTGGGCTGCGAGTATGTCCTTTACAGCAACATATTCATTTATCTGCCTGTACACCACTTTTTCTAGAATTTTATTCAAAAGTGGCAACAAGCTTATCGGCCTTAAATCTCCAACTACGGACGGATCAATATTCTTGGGAATAGGAACGACCAATGCCTCCTTCCACGTAGCTGGGAAGTATCCAATTTGAAGACAACAATTCACTAGATCGCAAAAGTATTTATCTGTTGCTGCCATGTACGACCTTACCACCTTCAAGGTGATTCCGTAGACGCCCGTAGTACCTGACTTGATCTCTGATACAATTTCAGTAATATGAGAAATTTCAGTTAATTGAAAAGTAAAATTGTATTCGTTACTAATTTTGTGTGAATTATAAAAATCTACGGTGGATGAACATTTGTAATCACTGTTAAAAAGAGACAAAATAACGATTAATCTCTTCTGGATCGTCTAAATTCGATGGTATGTCCACAGTTACCTTGTTTTTCTGAATCTTTTATTCTTTTATACCTTTGTGAAATAGAGAAGAGCTTTTTTGTCCCAAAAACTCTAAATATGCTCTTTTTTCCTTTTGCACCGCACTTTTTGCAAAATTGCGGGGCTGTCTCTAAAGTTTCCAAGTATCGGGTGTTTTATTTTTTTTATAATTCGATAGTCTCTATCTCTCTGTCTCTCGTCTGTGATAACTATGCAAAAAATGTAGGGCGTAAAATTTTAAGGCGTACCACTGTATATTTAATACCATTGAACATGTTCGGCACCAACTGAAATCTGCCATTCGTCGTAACAATGTTTTCCCCGTGTTAACTCCAATGTCCTCAAACTTCTAGAAACCGAAGTTTTTAACATCCCTCCACAAAGATGGGCAAACAATCCATATAAATATCCATATTGCAAATAATATAGAACAAGTAATAAATAGAACAGGCGATGATAGTCATAGTGATACTGATATATTATGTGAATAATTTTAAGTAATTTAAGTAGGTAATAAAAATAATTTGCAATTTTATTTTAGATTTAAACTTAAATACATACATAAATTAATATTGTATTAAATAGTATCTTTCCTAACAAAACCCCAAATAATTAAATTCTAAGCAAAGTACAGACCTGTTCGGCCATATTTCATTCTTACAGCTTGCTCGGGTCTTTCCTTAATCAGTTAGCCACTTTCTTATATCTATGAACAGACTTTAACGCCTATACGGCGACGTACGAGTGCAATTGCTACAAAAAAAACTTCATGATAAAAAAAAATCGATAGTTTTTAATTTTTTTAAATTAAAATCAAAGTTTGCCCAACACTGAGTGCACAGTGGCGAACAAATGAGGTGTTCGGGACTCTGCTAACTGGCGGATTAAAATAATTCAGTCCCGTAGGCGTCAGTGCGCCCGGACCTTCGACGGCGTCGTCGTCGTCGTCGTCGTCGCCTCCGTAGTCCACGATAGAACGTGGTCGTCGGGCAGTGTTTATACATATTTACGTCACGTCCCAAGTCGGCCGCGGACGTTCGTCTCTTGTTTTTTGTTTCGTGTCGGTTCTTTTGTTTCCATAGTCGCTCCATTCGCGTCGCAATTCGAAGGGCATCATCGCCAAGCGTTCCGGGCGTTACGTAAGTAACTACAAGAGAAAGAAAAGTTGGATTCCTGTTTTCCCGTTGTTTGTTACGTTGAACGTAATTGAATTTTGATTCTGATCGATTCCAAAATTTTCGTCAAAGCGACGATAATAACATCTGGCAACGCCGCACGCGCTTTAAGTCTCGGACATGTGGCGCGTAGGGAACACCACAGAGTGTTTGAATCTCGGCTAGTGAACGGACAAGGATAAATGATACAGTCAAGTAAACTATTTTGAACAATTCAATTTTTTTTTGTAGATGTAAAGAATAATAAATACATATAATAAAAAAATGTTTTGAAAAAAAAAACAAAACAAAAATTACATTTACCCCGACAATTTCGGGGTAATTGTAAACATCTGTATCAAAAACTAGAGGAATTATGGAGATCTTGGGATATATCAGATATCTGGTATGGTTTTCCCTGGACAATTAGATGTGCTCTCATCTTTTTGCAGTGCTACTATTTCAGATGTGGTTAGCGAAATTATTGGTGTTTTCCTTGTTATTGGTGATGTCTTTTCATTTATATAAAGAAGCGTTTGTTCTTGTGAAGCTAATTTTTCAGCATTTATTAGAAGGATTTGGAATGTTGCTTGTTAAAGGAGATTGTCTCGAGTTTTTGTATATATTTCGTTTCTTTTGCAACGATTGTAGCCTTTGATCTTCAACAAATTCACATTTTGGCAACCGCCGAGTTCCCTTGCCCACATTCTTTTTGCCAAAGTTTATCAATTCCTTCTTCCAAAATGTTTTCATTGGACCGAAAACACATTTATCCAACGGCTGTAACATGTCGGTAAGATGGCTAGGAAGTTGAATCAGTGTAATATGGTTAGAGATAGCTGCTTCGATTATTCTAACGCTGATATCACTGGCATGCCCATCATAAATTAGAACACATTATTGGTTTGGTAGAGATTTTTCTTCTCTAATTCTCTAAATGCTTCAGTGAATCATGTGCAAAACTGTGACTCCTACATCCATCCATTTTTAGGTACCGAGTACACAGTACCAAGCTAAGCTTTGCCTGATGTCCAACGGGCACCCTTAAAAACTATAAGTGGTGGCATAAAGAGCCATCTGCTCCAACACATGCTAAAACCTTAGTTGATTCTCGTCCAGATCCTCCAGAGACTCTTACTAATGGTTTGCCTTTTCGTCCCATCGCTTTTAAACGACTGGGATCGCTCTTAAAGCCCGATTCATCGGCATTATAAACAAAACTAAATTTATCTTCAGTATCAAGTTGGAATCGTTCCAGGGTATTTTGGAGATCTTCATCAAAAATTATAAATGATATTGAGTTGCCTCGCATCTTTCCTGGATTTCTATAGATCCTCAGGTCATTAGTGAAAGGAGTTGATATACTTTTGGCCCCAAATCTTCTAGTTCTACAGGAATATTCGATCGCCTCCACCTCTGCATAGAGTTACATACTGAATCGAAGGGAACTGTATTTGGTCCTCCAAGTGTTCATGATTCTGTTGTCCCTTCCTTAAAATGAATACGTCTTTCTCTTCAGCCTTCTCTCATGCTTGATATTGAATATATGTATTAGCCCACAACCCATAAAGAGTGAACTATTGTAAAACATTAAATCAATTTTACCTCGTTTCACTACAATACATAAATTGTTAAGTTAATAAGATAAACTATTTAAAATAAGTATTTATTTATTATTATTATTTATTTAAAAAATTTTCCTCAAAGCAGTGATAATGCGCACCATCTGGCAACGCCGCACGCGGTTTAGGCCGCGGACATGTGGCGCGTATCGCGGATAAAGCCTAACACATTGTCGCTCGCGTTTGGGCGGTGGGGGAAGGTCTGTTTTTTCGACGTTGCCGCTTCGACGACTGTCGGAGAGCTCGGGAAAATCGGAAAATTGAAAAGTGCGCCCCGCGGGAAAGTCTCGTAACGGCTAGTGCCCCGCCGCCGCGTAGTCGTTATAATGGTAGCAGTTAATTAACCCAATTGCGTCGGCCTTTTAAGGTTTAATTAATTTAAATAAACAGTCACGCGGATCTTTGTACCGTATACGCATATTTGTGTAAATTTCAAGGCGTCGGTCGCCATAAATTCACGATAATACGGCGAAATGTGAAATATCGAATAGTGAAACACGTCACTTACTAGTATGTAGGTTATCTAATAAAAGATTACGTAATTATCAATAATAATATTTTTTTGAAACTGTGAAAATGCTTATTTTTTATATGATAATATGTAAGTGAACGGTATATATGAGAGTACGGTTCTAATTTAATCGAAAGTATTTATGTACGGTGTGTCCCATTTTTGATGGTTTCACGGCGTACTTTGGTATAGAACTTAAACTTTTTTTATTGATATACTCTTTTAGTAATATTATGAGGCTTGTTATGAGCTTTAAAAAAAATTAAATGGTGCAATTTGAATGGAATGGAATTAAATATTAATAAATGCAAACTAATGAACTTCTACCGCAGCAGAAACTGCATGCATTATACTTATAACATAAAAGGGTTACCTGTATTGTAGGCCTCCGTAATAAGGGACCTTGGAGTGTTACTCGATATTAAATTGACTTACGCACACCATCTTTTATTTTTTGTATCTAAATCAATTCAGATTTTGGGCTTTATTAAGAGTTGTACAGTGGACTTCAACTTACAACTCTCCAGATTCGTCGCATGCATAGGCATCTTACCATTTTTTACAATCTACTGCACTCAAATTCTCATGGACTTGAGCTTTTACGTAACATTGGTAAGATTGGGGTCGGACTGATTTTAATCAAGTGATTTAAATCACGATTAAAATCATGATTTAACTCAAACTCCTTCTAAAATCTTTTTTTATCGAGACCAACACAAAAAGCACAAAGCCCCACAGAAAGTAGTCTAGCGGTGTTAAATCACAAGATCTTGGAGGCCAATTCACAGGTCCAAAACGTGAAATTAGGCGGGCACCAAACGTGTCTTTCAATAAATCGATGTGTGACATGTTGCGCCGTCTTCTTGAAACCACATCTCCTGGACATCATGGTTATTCAATTCAGGAATGAAGGAGTTAGTAATCATAGCTCTATGCCCATCACCATTGACTGTAACGTCCTGGCCATCATCGTTTTTGAAGAAGTACGGACCAATGATTCCACCAGCCCATAAAGCTCACCAAACAGTCAGTTTTACTGGATGTAACGGTGTTTCGACATACACTTGAGGATTAGCTTCGCTCCAAATGCGACAGTTTTGTTTGTTGACGTAGCCATTCAACCAGAATTGCGCTTCATCGCTAAACAAAATTCGCTTATGAAAATCGGGAACAACGACAATCTCGTTTTGGGCCCATTTGAAAGCGTTGTTCAGGCTTGAGTCTATTCATGATGAATTTCCAAACCAAACTGAGAATAAATCACTTGACAGCTGTTAAATCGGTAGCCATCTTGAACAGTAATGCCAACTTAAAGTTCTATACCTCGAAAATTAGTAGGGAAAATTTGCTTCTCTATTTGTTTGTCACTCTTTTCTTTTTCCCCTGTCGATTAAGGAACTATTCAAATCAGGCTGATTTTCAGTTTTTTTTTCTTTTTCTTTGTTTGGACTTTGCGCAGATTTCTAACGGCCTTACAAATCTGTCGTGAGTGTTGTGGAACTCGAAGCAAATGATGTACTAGCAATAGAGCGCCCGAAAAGAAAATAAAAATATTTAAATGTTAATAAATGATAATCCAGTCTTTCCTAGAGACGGACGCGGTTGTCCAATAAATGTCACAAAAAAGAGATACTTTGTCAGCGGACTAGTTTAAATTATTTTTTACCAGCTCAATCTAAATTTAAAGGCGTCAAAGCTCAGAGCAAATATAAGTTGTATTTACCAGTTAAGATGGATTGATTGTCTAGCGAAAAGAGGGACTCGCAAAGATCGGGACGTGATTTTCAAAATATCGAAGGAAAACCATCTAAATAAATATAAATTTAAAAAAATACAAATTTGTCGTGTCATTTCCACAACTAACTACTACCATCCGAAAGAAGATTTTACCACTTCATCGAAAACGTCCGAATTAATTTTCCAAAGAAACCATCTTTTCATGATATTAACAGCCTTCATTAATCGGCGTCTCATCATAATAGAATGTTTACGTCAGACCTTTTCGGCACTGCTTTATTATCAACGGAATATTGTCATCCTGGCCCAGTTCAACGGTCGCCATTTTATTAATATTCTCGTGATACTGAAAACACTACTGCTTCACAGCAAAAAATACTGATGAATTAATAAACTCTAAACAAATACACTTATAAACCAAAAGTATCATTCTTTTCGCTTTACTGGTCCTAAAGGAGTAGTAAAGGGCACTCATCTGGTAAGATGGTGGTGCAAAATGACATTTCAAAATATTTGTTTTTTCGGTTGATTATAGTTTTGGACACGTGGGATGGATGTTTGCGATCTTAAATCTCACGCTCGGTTTGCGGAATTCCGAATTTTTTACCCGACCGCCGCAAATAGATCGGCATTCAATGTCTCCTATTTTTAAAACGATCGTTCCGTCGGTCGCGGGGGTCGTGGGAGGGGGGGGGCAGGCGTCCCTTGTTTTGACAATTATCTCCGTTGCTCCTCGCTTAACCCATCGTGAAGCGCGTGGAGCCCTTCCGGGAAATCCCTTAGCTTCCATTTTTGTCACCTTACATCATTTTCCTCGGTGTATGCAACCAACTACACGCTTGATAACAGATTGAGAGATTGTGGCAAGATGTTCCAACAGAAATTATTAGTATAGACGTCATCCTGTTAAAACATCGCCTTCGAAGTATGCAACCAAGTTTACGCTTGTGTATTTTGTATAGACATGCTGAGGTTGCGTTTTAGCTCAACACTTCGTTCACTGGTTTTTCCTTATAAAGGTTATGGGTAAGGATTTCCTATTCCCTCAACAATGTTGCATATTCGTTACATTTAAAAGAAACGTATAAAAATTTACGACTTCTTTTGAAGAAAAT